TAAAGCACGAAATTAATTCGAACTCATTCGAAATAAATTAATTCAAACCAGTTCAGTTGAAACTAATTTATATTAATGTTTTCTCAAACTAATTGGAGCTGATTTTAGCGAAGAAATTAATTCTAGTTCATTTTAACTGCGAAATTGATGTAAATTAATTTACTACATGAAAATTCTATGCATGATAGAGTACAGAAAGTTAGTTTAGTCTTTATTTTTATAGAATTAGTGCAAACGTTTTTCCTAACCTTGCAGAAAAACTAAATATATCAGATGAAATGGACGCCTCGAATGGGATGAGTTCTGAGAACCTCGAGGAAAACTAATTTGTACTTATCGTTTCTTTTTCGGCTATTGGAAAAGTGTATTTTCCCAAAAGCTAAAGAAAACAACGCTTTCTATTATTAAGATTATTTTCCTTTGATAGAGTATAAAAGCTAGTCCATATCCTATAAAATTCAAGCTGAGTCCTCTTTTCGTTCGGGCATAATGAAAAACTACGTAGTAAAGTTTACAGTGAGAACCTAAATTATTTATTTACTCCTATAGTGTGACATTGTTTGATCAATAACCGCTGACGTAACAACCTTAAAAAATTTTTCTTTGCATTAAAAAAAATGGAATTTTCATTAGGGCATACTAATTAGATTTTTTAGATTTCTTCGACAATCCTAATTAGATTATGATTATGATTAATTATTACTTAATCATTATATAGTTATAAGAGATGATAAAAAATTTTATTCTATATTTATATCTGGAAGAATATCATCCAAAATCCTTTAAAACACAATAATAAATGGTAAAAAATGATATTTTATAAAAGGCTTTTAATATTGAGTTTTCGTCCATTCTAAGAAGCAAAGTAATCATGCCATAGATATCAGCATTAGTGATTACTCATGCTTCCACTCTTTTCACAATTACAAACTCGATCGTGGTTGTCAAAGAATACATGCCAAAAATGACTGCTGTTTCCAAACCATGGCAGATGGAGATCTCGCTTAAGGTTATATTTTCTACATGGTAAACATAGAGTGTGCTATGGGAAATATTTCGACTGCGATGCTGATCTTTCAAGGACTCATCACGTACACCAGCTGAAAAGTAGATCTTCAATAAACCTGTTGATGTAGAAAGGATCCTGTCAGGTCTTGGCAAAAACAATGCGAAAGTAGCATATCTTTATCATCTTCTGTACATAATTCATTCAGCTTCCCAAAAAATAATTTGGTCGATGATGGCTAGCTAAGATATTTTTTCAATCGATGGAGGCGGCTGGAAGAACCTTTAAACCTTTTCTTCGTCTTCGGCGACCAATTACACAACGTCTCAAGATTTTTCATCAGCGGCTGAGGGACCTACATCACCTGTCCATCTCGATGGACAATGTATTCATCATAGATAAATCTTGTATCATACACCGAATGATAATTGACTGCAGCAGAGCTTCATGCACTGGTTGCCGCCATTACTGATTCAATACACAATAAGACCTTGTTATAGAACATGATACGTTGTTGTCTTTTCATCAGATAACTGTATATCATTAGAAAATTCGGTGCTTGCTCTGCGCTGAACAAAATTAGATAAAAATTGAGCGCCGGGTGTAACATTTCTCGGTAAATCCGAAAGAGGGTTTCCTTTCACTCCATTTGACTTCTTCTTTGGTGTCGACATAATTGACGTGGTTTTTGCTAAATTTCATTTTTCTAACTTGTTGAAAAAAAGGTCACAATAAGAAAAATGAAATTTAGGCAAAAACCACGTCGATTATATCGACACCAAAGAAGAAGTCAAATGGAGTGAAAAGAAGCCCTCTGTCGGACTCACCGAGAAACGTTACACCCGGCGCTTAATTTTTGTCTAATTTGGTTCAGCAGCGAGCACCAAATTTTCAAATGTTAAGCGTTATCCGTGGATCATCGGCAAAATAAGCACCACGCTCTAGAAAAATAAAACAAATATAATATAGATCTAAATGCCGAATGACACTTCATACCGCATGCATGCACCGTTTGGATTGTAGTATCGGTCATCGAATCCACGATTAAATATCCCATCAGTTGCAATGATTTCCGTTCCGTGAAACAGTTTCCCTTCATTAGGATCGTTTCTCGACATTCTTTTGATATTATCTTTTTCATAAATTGCTAGGAGCTCTTGTAACAAACCAGCAAAACTAAACTTGAATATGCCACAAATCCGAACGCATAGTTTGACGATCTGACATGAGTACTGATCATTGCCGTATAAGCGTCAATATTTCCAGACGTATCGGACGAGAAAACCGATCTACAAAATCAGCCAGTTTTCGTATTCTACCCCACTTTTGCGTTCATCCGTACAACAATTAAGTGACTTGTACGAAATGAATTCATAGTTTACAGTAGAGATACACTTATACAATAAATATAAGGAATGTTAAATGCCATAACATATTTTTCACGTAAAAAAGTTATGCGCAAGTCTTCGCGCTAATAAAATTGCCGCATGTTGTACCCATATATTCGCGCATACTCTTGGTCATAGATAGTACTCAACTTCGACTACTTATGCTCCAATGTGGACTCTTGATCTGCTTCCTAGACCAAGATATAAACAAAAGAAATTTCACTTGTATATCGTTTCAGCCTGTTTTTAGGACTTTTTACGAAAAATTCCTTAACTTCTGAAGGAGAGAATTGATTCCTTGTTTAAGGTGAAAAATTTTATGGCAAAAATCAAGATTAAAATCACCTTTTTACATGTTGAAATGACCATTTCAACATGTATGAAGGAGAGAAGTTCCGGTGCACATTTGTGGGAATCTTCTCAAGTGTGTCGCTGCTACCTACGATGTAAGTATGAAGAAAATACTCAGCTATTGACTGAGCAACTTAGGTCGTCCCTAACGTGCAATGGCTCTTAAATGTCGCTATAAAATTGCAAGCCAAAGTACATTTTTGGATATTACATTCGTATTCTCCTTATTATTTAGTTATAAATAGTTAATTTTAGCTTCTTTTAAGTATGAGCTTTTTCAAGTATGACATTTCAAGACAAACTCAAAAAATTCGCTGAAGATTGTAAAAAAGTCTCTGAAATTTTTTATTTGTCACTGACTTTTACAATGACTTTTACAACTTGGAAAAGATCTTCTCATTTTCTGCTACTTGTGCTTATATAATTGCATGTCTACACGGCTGGGAAAGGTAATATGATCACAATCATTGTTCTTGTATCATTATTTTAATCCAGACCTAAAAAGATTGCAAAAGATAGTGACAAATAAAAAATTTCAGAGGCTTTTTTACCATTTTCAGCGAATTTTTTGAGTTTGTCTTGAAATGTCATACTTGGAGAGGCACTTGGATAGAGACACCAATTTTCTTCTTTTATAACTTTTTCTTCCAGAAAATCAATGATTTTTTCTAAAAAAAACAAAACACACATGTGTGCCGTTTAGTGTTCCGTCTCGCCGTTTTAGAAATACATGTAACTTACGGAGAGAATCAAATTTCTTGTTATATAGAGACGATAATTAACCATTTGGTGCATTTCTCACGTTAGTGCATTTATTTTTAGATCTTTTAACGAGATCCACATGCTAATTGAACCTATATAGGCGAATCTCTTAGATTTTGTGCATTTCCTGACAAAAGTAACCCAGTTTTTGACTTTCAAAAAATAGGAGAAAAACTCTGTAACAAATGTAGTAAAAACGAAAGAGCTTATTTTTTTCTGCTTCCACACACTGAAATTGCTATGTACTTAATACTATTCAGTATTTAAAATTTATATGTCAAAACAAAAAATTGAAAACAGCGTATGGCTGTTTCTTTTAATTCGTCATTTTTTGAAATCACATTTTTCATTCAATACAGAGTACATCTTGATAATCAGACATAATTTAAATGGATTTTGACTGAGTTATAAATTTTTTAATTTTACTCTAAAATCTCTATCTAGGTCTCTATCTATCTTTTATCAAAACTTATTCAAAAAGC